GTTTTTGGTTGACTTTCTAAGTTTTTGGTTGACTTTCTAAGTTTTTGGTTGACTTTCTAAGTTTTTGGTTGACTTTCTAAGTTTTTGGTTGACTGTCTAAGTTTTTGGTTGACTTTCTAAATTTTTGGTTGACTTTCTAAGTTTTTGGTTGACTGTCTAAGTTTTGGGTTGAACTCAAAAAAAGATTTGAACTCAGTAATCACAAACTAGGGTAGTGGTGCAGGGAGTAGAGAAGCCAAGCTTGTGATAGGAAGGTAGCCGGTTCGACTCCAGGTTAGTTTCCAATGTTGCACTTGTGTTCATTTAACCTATCACATTTAACCTATCACATTTAACCTATCACATGTGTGATAGGTTAAATGCAGAGACTTAAAAGAGACCTATAATGCAAAATTCACTTTTAAAAGTTTTTTTACTCAACTTTGGCAAATAGGCTTTAACAAGGCTTTAATAAGCTAAACAATAGAAGTACATGAGAAAACGTGTTCATAACAAACAAAAATTAAAAATTAAACTCTTTGTGTCCATGTCGGTCTCGATCCCTAGTCTCCCACCCTCTGATCCAACACTCTACCCACTGTGCTATAGGAGGCTTGTTATAAAATGAGCTGCACATTACACAACAACACCGTGACGGCTTTTTATACGGTGGAGCAGGAGCTTCACCCAGGGGTTACTAGGTAAGGGGCTGAACGCAGGTTCTGGTGGGTTGTCGTACGGCTTGTGACATCACAAAATGTAGGAAGTATAAAACTTGTCATTAATACTGTATACATTAAAATACATTTACTTACAGTAAATATGCTCCTGGGCGCATTTWTTTGGTCCTAGGACTGTTTTTTTAAGAAGTACATAACCAAAGTTGAGTTAAAAAAAACTTTTAAAAAGTGAATTTTGCATAATAGGTCTCTTTTAAGTCTCTGCATTTAACTTATCACACATGTGAACACACATGCAACATGGAGACCAACCTGGAGTCGAAACGGCTACCTTCCGATCACAAGCTTGGCTTCTCTACTCCCTGTGCCACTACCCTAGTTTGTGATGTCTGAGTTCAAATCTTTTTGAGTTCAACCAAAAACTTAGAAAGTCAACCAAAAACTTAGAAAGTCAACCAAAAACTTAAAAAGTCAACCAAAAGTTTGAGATTCAACCAAAAGTTTCTATTTTGCAAAAAAACGTTTTGATAGTTTTTTTTAATTTTTTGATTGAAATAGCTTTTTTAATTTGGTTGAAATAATTTTTTTTGGTTGAAAATATTTTTTGATTGTATTTATTTTTTGTTTGGTTGAAAAAAAATATTTTTGATTGAAAATTTTTTTTTGATTGAAGATGCTTTTTGTTTGATTGAATAATAAAACACAAATTTACCTCCATACTGCTGGAAAACACTTACAGTGTTTAATGAGTTCAGTTTGAACAGCTGACATTTGCTGAAAGTTGGAAAAATAGAAAATAAATGAAAAACCAGTTGAAAAAAATTAGCAACAATGTGTTGAAAAGGCTGAACGGAGCAGAAATGTAGTTTAAATAAAATAGGTAAAAAGTAGCTTGAACAAGCTGAAATTCACCAACCAGCAGAAAGAGCATATGTCTGCTGAATTAAGCAGTAAGTTGAAATTATGCTAAAAATTGAAGTTAGAAAAAAGCAACAATTAACTGAAAAGTAGCTTAAAAGGCAAACAACAGCTTTAATTTGCATAAATAACATGAGCCGAATAAGCAGAAAATATTACAAAATATGGTCAGTAGAAAAAGCTACAATTAGCTGAAAAGTAGCTGAAAAGGCAGAAAACAGCTTAAATTATCAGAAAGAAACAAAGGTTAAATTAGCAGAAGAATAGCAGGAGGGAGCAGAAAGATTGCTGAAATCGCGGAAAAAAGCCTCAGTTGGCAAAAAAAATAAATAAAAATAAGAAGCCGAAGGAAGATTTATAAACATTTTAAAGGATTTTGAAGACTGCTCTATTCCTTTTTTAATGAGAAAAAAAGTGGCCAAAAATAGCTGAAAAAGTACGAGCTGCTGAAATRCCAGAAGTCGTAGTTGGAATGTCCTGAAGGAGCTGAACGTTTTGATGTATAAATTGTTAAAATAGCACAAAAACTGTGGAACGGGTTGTGTGTCATAAAACGTGCGGAAGAAAAATAATTCCAATAATAAGAATTCACACAGTTATAAAGAGCAGATGCTCCATAATTAATGAACTCCTCTCCAGGAGCACGTCTTCCCTCCTGTATGACTGAACTGTCATTGCTGCGTTTCGTCACGATGAATATTCATGAATTTAAACGAGGGGTCCGACTTCAGCCTCACTTCTCTCCAGTTATTCAGAGGTCTGAGTTAAATGCCAAATGGTGGGCCTCTCCTGACCCCCACTGACTCCAAACTTCAGCTGCTGTGTGTTTATTTCTCCAAAGCTGAACGTAATCTTCTGTAACCAGCATCTCTCCTGATGCTGCAGGCCATGAGATATTTACACCRGTCTACGTCACAGAGAACCTTTAAAGACCGCTTTAGATAAAAAAATAAAATAAAATACACTGAAGACATGGTTTTAACCTTGTGTTTTCTAATTTCTTATTATTTTTCTCTCTCTAAGTTTGGCAGAACGGAGGTGATCGACAACACGCTGAACCCAGACTTCGTGCGGAAATTTATTTTGGATTATTTCTTCGAAGAGCGACAAAACCTCAGATTTGACTTGTGAGTACAATTTAGTCAAAAATCAAGTTTAAAGGACACTTCCAACTATTTTAGTTTTGAAAATATGAAAATATTTTATTCAAACTTTGTACAGTATTTTAAATTTACTGTGTCTTTGTAGAGTTACATTTGCTGCTCAACTTTGATCTGTTAGCGATCAAAGTGTTTTTTATTTTAGCTCAAAATATTTCAGTTTGATTGACTTTTAGCCTTTTTTGTCTTCTAGGTTCAGATGTTAGTGGTGGCCATCTTGAATCGGGTTGAATCCAAAAGTTAATCAGTTTAGATTCTGAAAGTTTCAATAAAATCCAGCCCGTGAGATATTTCGCTAACAGACACTCAAAGCACTGAGCAGTAAAGATGCTTCCTTTCAGTTTTYGTTTGAAACCTCCAGGCTGCGTCTCTGCGCTCCCTGATCATATTTTTCCTTAATGACTTTGGGATTTCAGCAGCTTTATTTTATTAAAACAGATTATTCAGATCATAATCTGTGAAACTGTAGCGCCACGAACAGAAGCGAACCGGGAGTCGTGCGAGGAGGAGTTGGCGATTCTGCGTGGATTCCTTCGACAAAGGAAGAGAAACAAAGAAAACAGAGCAAAAATAGTTTGCGTGGGAGGAAGTTTTGTCTAAATTTGTCCCAGTAGACACAAATATGATTATATTTCTTCTACAAGCCTTGTCTTGTTTAGTGTTTAATTTTTTTTCAGTTCTCCTGAAATGAAGCAGCTGAAAACTTGTATTTGTCTTGGTTTACTAATTGGGATCGAGTTTTTCTTACTGCCATAATCCAACTAATCGGTCATGGTTCGCAGTAGATTCGTCACTGTGACCACGGCAACAGTGTGGGTCTCTGTGCAATAATTTTACTGCAATGGATAACCATAGAAACCAGGGATTTAAGGGAGGGTGATTAAAGAAGCGTTTAAAGGGATCCATAATTAGTTGTAACATTAGACTTTATTTAATAAACATACGTATATTTTAACCGTAAAATAAAGACTGTAAAAATACTGTAGGATGTTTAGTTTTTTATCATTTTTAAACTAAAAATTAAAAATATTATTACACGGACGGGGCCATTTTATTTACACACAAAGCATTCTGGGTAAACGATGACGTGGATAGGTCCTCGGTGCGAGGCTGCTAGCGAGCTATATCCACCCTGAAGGTTAATCTTGGACAATATCTGATGATCGACTCTTTTAAATGAAACCAGAGAGCGTTGACAGAGAGGAGAAGGTAGAAATGACTCAGCTGCAACTGAAAATATGGATGGAGGACCTCAGTTTAGCTTGTTTGTCGCACTAGCACCGAGCTAATACATATAAGGCAATATAGCGTTGGCACTAGCGCAAACGCTAACAGGCTAAGTTGAGGTTGTTCTTCCATGAAGCAGCTCTGTTGTCCTCCATCCATATTTTCAGTTCCAGGCTGAGTCATTTCTACCTTCTCCTCTCTGTCAACGCTCTCTGGTTTCATTTAAAAGAGTCGATCATCAGATATTGTCCAAGATTAACCTTCAGGGTGGATATAGCTCGCTCACATCGGGGACCTATTCATGTCATCATTTACCCAGAATGCTTTGTGTGTAAATAAAATGGCTCCGTCCATGTTAAAATATATTTTAAAAAATTTACTAAACTAAACAGCCTACAGTATTTTTACAGTCTTTATATTACAGTAAAAATAAATTTTATCAAATAAAGTCTAATGTTACAACTAATCGTGGATCCCTTTAAGTTTGGTGAGGTGGCAACAAGTCATCTCCAGCTGATMTTTTAAGCACCAACTCTCTGTCATATTGCGATATTTCAGTGTTCGATATTTTCTTACACCCCTATTCAGGAGTTTGTTGGGTGTYGAGCATCAGCAGTGCATACGCAGAAAAAAGTTTGCATGCATCAGGATATTTAAAAACAAACGCTGCAGGATATATTTGCATATTTAAAAGGAGAGGGAGGGGTTTTATCTATTTTTTATTTATCTGGATGCTGTCTATTTTATTTTATTTTTCATTTTTTGCACCAAATTGCTGCTTTTATTTGTTCCGGGTGGGTGCCAGACCCCGTTGATAATGAACTGGCTCCGTGACAAAACCCCAAAATCTATTTGATTTGATATTCACTGTAAAAAGCTCACTTGACCTTTTCAGCGCGAGCAGTTTCATTTAATTTCCATCATTCTGACCGTTTTCATAAAACTAAAAAAAAAAAAGTTCCTGCTGTCAGAAATCTCTCACTGAGGTGTTTCTACTCCATGAAAGCATAATTGTGTGTGTCAGTGGTACGGGGACCCAAATTAGACGTTGAGTCACTTTTGAAACCGAAAGAAACTCGMGCAACATGCCAAGAAAAACAACCCTAAGAGGCCACAGACGTTCACGTCTCGCAGAACGAGTTGAGAGACGCGACATTTACTGGAAGAGCAATCGAAAGATCTGACACGAAAAAAAAAGTAAGGAAAGTATTCACACACGAGGAACCCGTTGTCATAAGATTTACAAGTGGAAACCTGACAAACTGGTTTTAAATCGATGAAAGGTAAACCGACAAGAACACGAAGCATCTCGGAGCAAGTCGACTCGAACAGAACGACTCAAAGCACACAGAACAGGAAAAGGTTAAACAAACCCATCAAATAGATGGACTGCAACAATATGAGGAAAGGTCCAGGTGCAGAGGTTGGCGTGTGTCAGAACACTAACGCATAGGATGTACCGTTGTGCTATGGATGTTTCAAAGGAAAACAAAATTGCTTTTCATGTCTTTCTRAATGTATCACTCAGCAGAGGGTCATTCTTTTCCTTTTAGTGATGGGCGAAACGATCTGAGCTGTGAAATAATCTCAGATTGCTGAGTGAATRGCTGCTCTGACGACTTCCCATTTCAGGGCCAAGTCATTTTTCTGAACATATTGTGTGTTATTATGGAACTTGGGTGACGTTTGAGGGAGTACAAACGATGTGAATGCACATAAATTTGTTACGGACGTCAAATTAAGCCAAAACTAAAAAATCCATGAAGAAATTAAAGGGTGTCACTTCAGCCACTGCTTGAAAATCGATTTTTAGAATAAAAACTGACATTAGCAGAAGAAAAGAGAGGAAAAACTAACATGCACCTTTTAATAAACACTGACTCACTGACCTCTTTGCACAGCATTTATTAGTTTCTGCCGTCTACACAGTCATAGGTACGACTACCAATTAGTCCTTTTAGTGTCAGTTTATTGGCTTGTAAGCCTGTCATGCTGTGAATTAGAAAAGCCGCAGCATAGAGTGAGATTGACAAGCTGCTTGGCCCCATTACCCATTTTACTGGGTCTATAATCTGTCGTGTTCCCAGCTGAGATGCTGCCACTTTTCATCTGTTACTAACGCACTGACCTTCTCTTTCTTTATTTCCATAGGTATGATGTCGACTCAAAGAGTGCCAACCTTTCAAAACACGTGAGTGTTTTTTTGAGCTAAGCATTTGTATATGTGATTCCTCCCATTTCAGCCATATAACAGTAATCTGACCTTTATCATGAGTCTGTTTATCACTTGCTGGAATAATAGCACATACTATGAACTGGCTGTTGGTCATTTAGCAGTTAAATTTTATTATCCTGCTTTTTTCCCCTTATTGATGGCAGTGATTACAGCTGTAATTACAAACAGCAGTGTATTTAGAGCAATTATGGCTGTTACCTGTCTACCGCTTCAAGGAAATTGTTCTGCACTGAGGGGAAGGCAGCAGAATTAAATTTTAATTTGTATTTTTTAGTTTATTTAGTTTAGAGTCATGTCCAATTGAAGGCCAATTATTCTACGCAACATACACCTTCAAATTTGACATCAGTTTAAATTTAAATCATGGCTTTATCAGCTTTAAATCACGATACGATGTGGCTTTAAATTACGACACAACGCGGTTTTAAACCACAATACAGTACACTTTTAAATGAAGATACGATGCAACCTCAAATCACAATACGACGTGGGTTTAAATTACAATAAAATGTGGTTTTAAATCTCAATGATATACAGCTTAAAATCACAATACAAAAAAAGTTAAATTATGATACGATCAGCATCTGTGGCTTTAAATCACGATACGTTCCTTTTTTAAATCACAGTATGATCCTTTTTTAAAATCACGATATGATGTTGCTTTAATTCACGATACGATTCTTTTTAAAATCATGACACAATCCTTTTTTGAATCACGATATGATCCCTTTTTAAATGACGATAYGATCCTTTTTTAAATCACGATATGATCCTTTTTTAAATCACGATACGATGTGGCTTTAAATTACAATACAATCCTTTTTAAAATCCCGATACGATTCTTTTTTAAATCAYKATACGATRTAGSTTTAAATCACGATACAATTCTTTTTWAAATCACGATACGATGTGGCTTTAAATCACGATAAGATTCTTTTTTAAATCACGATATGAACCTATTTTTAAATCACAATGTAATTCCTTTTTAAATCACAATACAATCCTTTTTAAAATCACAATACAATTCTTTTTTAAATGACAAAACAATCCTTTTTTTAAATCATGATATGATCCTTTTTTAAATCATGATATGATGTAGCTTTAAATCACGATACAATTCTTTTTTAAATCACGATACGATGTAGCTTTAAATCATGATACGATTCTTTTTTAAATCATGATACGATGTGGCTTTAAATCACGATACGATTCTTTTTTAAATCACGATACGATGTAGCTTTAAATCGCGATACGATTCTTTTTTAAATCATTATACGATATAGCTNTGTAGCTTTAAATCGCGATACGATTCTTTTTTAAATCATTATACGATATAGCTTTAAATCACGATACGATTCTTTTTTAAATCACGATACGATGTGGCTTTAAATCACGATACGATTCTTTTTTTAAATAATGATACGATATAGATTTAAATCACGATACGATTCTTTTTAAAATCACGCTACAATCCTTTTTATAAATCACGATATGATATGGCTTTTAATCACAACAGTTTTGCAGATTGATAATTACAATTCAATATAATGAGACTCCATGCTGTGTCTCTCTCTGTTATTGAGATTATTTACTACCTGATTACCTCTTAAAATTTTCATTGAGGACAAGTGACTCATCTGGTTTCTTTGTTTAATGCTTTTACCTGATTTCTGTTTTCTCAGTGAAGCACATATTTGCTCACATGGTGGATGTGGGTTTATTTGGTCAGAATTGGTAAATATGTTCAATCATTTGAAAAGCAAATGCTTTGATATGACCAGGATGGGACACCACAGCATTTTTCTGTTATCTAAAGGACATAAATGTGTTACATCATTATGTCAGCCCAACCATATTTGCCAAACATTAAAGTACATAAATGTGTTTAACATTTGGTAAAAATGGTTGGGGTGACATAACAATGAATCTGGGGTGCTTGAGTGTGAGGTTTTGCAAACTGTGGAGGGGAAAAAGCTATAATATTTCTGCCCATTTTAGCCTCTTGGAAAGTGCAGTCACCCACTTTCACTTTGCCCCGAAGCGACACACTCCAAGTCGTATTTCTGACCATCCGTTTGCATTTTAGTGTCCGAGCCAACCAGTCTGCCCACATAACACATGAGACAGACACCAAGTCGTGACTGGTGCTCACCTTTAGAAAGTGGTGTGAATTGGAAATTGGAAAGAGCAGATGTGAGACTCTGATATTGAACTTAAAAAAATAAAAAAAGATCACAGTTCAACAAACCGATACTGCTCATTTGTGATGCATTGCTTCTGTGAAACCTTCTGTGAAATAACTTTAAAATACAACTGCACAATTTCTAGCTGGAGTTGTGCCGTTTGCTTTCTTCTAAATGAGCTAGGCTAAACCGTTATCAGCTGATATGCCTAGTTTTAGCAGGGTGTGCAACTTCAAAATACCAATTAGGAGAATATGTTGACATAAATGCCATGTTAAATTCATGACATACCTGTTAACCCTGTTGACTCCTGCACTGATCAATGTACATCATACACTTTCTATTTATTTATTTATTTTTAATCTCCTGCCTGCAAACTTGCCCGGTCACTGTTGAAGTGCTCATCTTGGGTGCCAGCTGGCTGTGTTGTTTCTCGTGCTGCTCATTGTTAGATCATCGAGCCGGGGGCGTTAATTTAGTTTCAAACCACCTGCTTTTGAAGAACCGGTTCATGCGCCGCACCGACAAACCTCTGAACTGCGGAGCCGAACAAGGACGGCCAGCTGCTTTTTTTTAAGACAGTGGAACAGATGGAGGGACTCACCGAGGAAACACCTGAATAAAACACTATTTGTCTTAAAGGGACTCTGAAATATAATAGAGATATAGTCTGTGGAATTCAGTAATTCCCCCTGAAAAACATGAAGTAGCAAAGCATTTTGAGTGGATGACAAGACTTAATTTAGGTTTATTTTGACCATTTAATAGGAAGATATTCTTATTAAAAGCTGGTTATTTCTTTAAATGGAGCAACAGGGTCATGTTTAATGTAAACTTTCTGGTTCCTATCAAAAGAAAACTGCATTAAAGTGCAAAAGAGTTTCTCTTGGAGCTGKTTTTTTAGTGTTTTTCTGTTGGAACCAGCTGAGATCTTTGAAGCAGTGTCCGTTCCTTAGAACTTTGTTTGCTTCAAATCCGAGCAAATTATTGGAATTCAGCAAAAAACAGCTTTCGCAGAACTTTTTACGTCCTTTCTAAGGTCTAGATTTATATTCTGTAATTAGCCATTAGTTGCTCGGAGGCAGTTTTCGAATGGACCTCGTGCTGTGGCACCAGTTGCATTTATTTTACTGCATTTCTTCATCATAAACCAAGGAAAAGCTCATAAAAATGTTCTGATCTTTTTTCCATAATCTCATATTGTGGACAAAAAGAAATAAAAGGAAAAATAAAATGAAACGACCGCATGCTGCTCTTATGATAAATAGCTAAACAAACAGACATTAAGCTTCGCTGGTGGACAGAAGAGCTGCAGAACGATGAAGAGAAGATGCAAATCAGTGAAGCAGGAGAATCCATTATGTTAGAATTAAACATGAAAAATAGCTTCACCTTCTTTTAAGAGCCGGAATAAATATATGAAGCTTCGTTTTAATTCTCAGAGAAATAATTCTAAAAAAAAAACAAAACAAAACAAAAAAAAACAGGTAATGCTGTGGTAACTATGCCAAGCCTGAAGATGGCGCTGCAGCACCACTGCTAAAATACTCCAAAAACAGGATACAAGGTGTGAATGGTGAATTTTAGAACCAAAAAAAATAACTTTTTGTGAACGAATGGTTAATTTTTGCAACAAGATCGCAAAACTGCCTGACTGTGTCAATTAATTCATGTTAGTTTAAATATATGGGCATAATAGACGCTTCCTAGGTCCAGTTTTCAGCGCGGGATGGCAAGAGTGAAGGTTTGATTACAAGTTTTATAAATGTTTCAACTTATCTTTTTATAAATGTATATTGTAGTTTTTGCTGCAAAGCTCAGTAAAACCAGCATTTTTAATGATAAAGTTTTAAACTGAGGTTGGATTTTTGTAGGGATTGGGTCATTTTTTTTGCTTCCTTCTGGTTGTGAGGTWTTTGATGTTGTAACCAATCCTCCTGACTCCACAGGACTTTCTGGGCCAGGCTCACTGCACTCTCGGAGAGGTGGTTGGATCGCTGGGCAGTCGCTTGGAAAAACCTCTTGGGTGAGTCTGTGTGCGTACTGACGTGGTTCTAGTCATTATCTGACCCAAAAACCAGACCCAGAGCTGTCAGTCAGGGACTCCCCATAGGACTTGATAAACAACCGGGGGAGTTTCTGTGTTTAAACACTGACTGCTTCTTTACAAAACTCATCTGTCACCACTCTGTTTTTTTTATCTTCCTCTGAAAATAAAGTCTCAAAGGAAATATTTCTCAGCTGTCCCGTTCCAGCTGTCAGAACTTTTGATGTGTGGTTTTCTACAGCTCTCTTTGAAAAGTGGGGGAAAACTGACAGAAACATAAAAAATTAGCTCTTTGTTTCTCTAAGTTTAGTGAATAATGAGATGTCATCATTGTACCATTGTTCCATTTGTCATAACAAAACTATACACCATGCAACAAGACCTTAATTTGTTGTTATGATGCCAGTGAGTAAAGAAATATGTTTTTATTTAGTTTTACAGCTTTCATTCTGTAGATTTTATGTTTAGCTGTTAATTAGAATCAAATTATGTAAAGTTTGTTGTCTTAACTGGAGAAAATAAGCAAAGAAATGCTGCTTAGCTACTACAAAACTTCGGTACACACACTTAAAGATGAAAAGGATTATTTTTAGCAATGATAAAGTTCAGGATCTTTGGTTTTTTAATCATGCAGCTGTTTATCTTCAGCTGCAGCAATAATTAGGATAAAGTGTTTACTGATACAGAAATGTCTCTAAGTCAATTTAAAACCTTTAAAGTGCCTGTAAGATGCATAAGTCAAAGAGAACATCTTTATATTTAAGAAACCTCACATAATACACGCAATTTTGCCCATTTTGTCACATAACTGGAATATTTTCTTTTGAACTTGCCTCAGCAAATGTGAAACAGGAAGTGACATCAAAGGGGAAATATTTAAGTAAAGGAACTCTTAAGTAAGTAAATAAGTAAGTAAGTAAACTTTATTTCTATAGCACCTTTCACAGACACAAACATCACAAAGTGCTTCACAGAAAGCAAAAATAACTAAAAACAATAAAACAGATCACAGATATAAAAAACAACAGTTAAAACACAATAAAAAGCACAATAACTAAAAGCCTGTTTGAATAAAAATGTCTTAAGATGTTTCTTAAAAGAGTCAGTAGAACTCTCTGGTCTTTGTTTATTGAAATAATATTTAAACTCTAACTCCTCTTCATCTGTCCCTGATAGTGACTCAAAATAATTTAAAGAAATATCAAATTCTTCTCTACAGTCTGTGTTGTTAACCATTTTAATAACACTCTGTTCACATGTAGACATTCCCCTTTGACATCACTTCCTGTTATTTTACATGCAAATATCTCAACAACAATTCATCCCAGCGCCATTAAAATTGTTTTTATTATGCTATTAATGTTGTCTTTCCAAAAATGCATTCATATTTATTACAAAAATTTGATATCACAGTCACTTTAAGCTTTATTTATTTTCTTATTTTTTGTGTTTTGTTTTGTTTTGTCTTTATTTGAAGACTATTGTGTTTAAATTTATTTTTTTGAGAAAATGGGCAGATATAAGATTTTTCTCTTCTTCTGCTACCTTTCATTTATGATTTGTATTTTTATTGTATATAGAATTTATGTTGATTTTTTTTTATAAAAAATGATAAAAATAAAAAAAAGCCACTGAGCTTAAATTTGGAGTGGCGGTAGCTGATAGTCCTCCCCATCGCACACTCTGAGCTCCAAGTTTTCATCTTAAATTCAGCGCTTTTGATGCAGCTGAGTGGGTTTTGTTTGAGTCGTTACTTTTGATTGCCGACAAACATTGGCTCATTACACGGACACAAAAAGATAAATGAGCTTCGGAGCAGGGTAATCTGCTTTTAACCATAACGTTGCCTTTTTTTTAAACTTTACATATCTCTAATGATCCGACTTGGCTGGCTTTCAGATGTTTTCCTGTCTTAATTTGTGCGTTCATTTGAATGCTTGATGAGCATCGATCTAAAAAGAGACGTTTGTGAGAAACTGAAATAAAATGCTTCAGGAACTCAGCAACAAACTCGGTCCCCATGGTGACTGCAAGGGCGTGTTTTCCACTCGAAGCAGGAGATGGAGACAACCTGTGCAACCAACCCACGGCTTCTCCGAGTGCAAAACTGTTGTTTACTCTGAAACCTCTCCCGTCACCACTCCTGATAATCATGCAAACGTTATCAAGCTTGTTTTGAAGTGATGGGGATGTTTGAACCATGAGTGGATTTTATTAAGGATGGCTGTCAAAGCTGCAGCAACACAAGTGCACTTTGTATTCTTTTGATGTTTTTTTAATGACGTGACTTTAAAGGAGTTGTTCCAGAATGCAGAACACCCAAGATTTAGAAAAGGCAGAAAATAAAGAAGTTTTTGAGCAGGGGCTGACCTAGACTTTTTTGAAGGGGTGGCCAAGGTTATGGGGGGCACACACAAATAAAGAAAAGCACTCTGGATTTGAAAATTCAAGACAGTTGCCGCAGCTAATTCCAAATGCCTTTTAATTCAGCTGTTTTTAAGAAATGAGCTGAAATTTTGTGTACTCATAGCCAAGATTTAAATAAAAAATGCTAAATGCTAGTCACAACTTATTTTTAGCTAATTTTAGACATACAGATCTGAAGATTAGTGTAGAAGTAGCAAAAACAGCCTACCAAATTCTAAATGTTAATCAAAGATGGCCACCATGGCTAACTTTAAAAGGCTATAATTTATCCATTTTAAACATTTTTTGAGATGAAATTTGTTTTGGATTAGCTAAGGCTAATCCCAAATTAAGCTAACCAATATTGTTACTGCTAATTTTACAAAGGGCCATTATCCAGCCGTCCATCTGGTTTTTTCCCCCGCTTATCTGGGATCAGGTCGCGGGGGCAGCAGCCTAAGTAGAGACACCCAGACTTCCCTCTCCCCAACCACCTGAGCCAGCTCGTCTGGGGGAATCCCAAAGCGTTCCCAGGCCAGCCAAGTCCCTCCGTTGTGTCCTGGGTCTTCCTCTGGGTCTCCTCCCAGTGGGACGTGCCCGGAACACCTCACCAGGGAGGCGTCCAGGAGGCATCCTAACCAGATGCCCGAGCTACCTCAACTGGCTCCTCTCGACGTGGAGGAGCGGCGGCTCTACTCTGAGTCCGTCCAGGACTCAGCCTCTTGTATCCGCGATCTCGTTCTTTTGGTCACTACCCAAAGTTTGTGACCATAGATGAGGGTAGGAACGTAGACCAACCGGTAAATTTCACCACGACAGACCGGTACAGCGCCCGCATCACTGCAGATGCAGCACCAATCCGCCTGTCGATCTCCCGCTCCATTCTTCCCTCATTCATGAACAAGACAGCGAGATACTTAAACTCCTCCACTTGGGACAGGATCTCCTCCCCGACCTGGAGAAGGCATCCTACCGGTTTCCGGCTCAAGACCATGGCCTCGGATTTGGAGGCACTGATCCTCATCCCGGCGGCTTCACACTCAGCTGCGAACCGCTCCAGTGAGAGCTGGAGATCATGATCTGATGAAGCCAATAGGACCACATCATCCGCTAAAAGCAGAGATGTGATCGTAATGTCACCAAAAAGGATTCCTTCAACACCTTGGCTGCTCCTAGAAATTCCGTCCATAAAAGTTATGAACAGAATCTTTTATGGACATAATCCATCCATTTTAAAATATACACAGCTGCAAATGGATATACAACAGTAGTATCAGAAAATGATCAGAGATGCACACCCACTTTGGGGTGGCCAGTCAGGTGCCACCTCAGCCACTCCTTTGGCTTCACCCGTGGTTGGTTGAACTGAAAAATGCATTGAACTGTTTCAGAAAAAGTAATCAAACTTTACGTAACCATAAACTAGAAGATAATTGAGTTTCACCTTTGGAGACGGTCTGGACTGCTTTTAATTGTCAGTTTGGTGGTCCGCTGTTGGACCACTTACTGGACTAACGTGACACAATCAGCAGTTAATAACTGGACAACTTGGGGGTTAAGAAAAACAAACGATTAGCTCATCTTCCACCGTTAAAAGATAATATCATCAATAGAGTTTCTGCTTTGTGAGGTGTTGAATAAATTTTTCGAATTTGGATCTCAAAGGTTGTCAAGTACAGATTGATTAAAACTGTCCTAAAATGCTGCTGTTTTAGTGAAGTGATGTGGCAACAACCTGGACTGAAATGAACTTTTGTTTTTTCTGCTGAGAAGAAAAATATGAACCACATTTGACCAGTTCTCAACTTCAGAGTGATTCAGTGAAGAAATCACAATTGTCAGCGTTGAGTCAAAACAAAGATGGAGGGACCACAGCTGTTTCAGTCGTCATAGTGTGTGTGTGTGTGTGTGTGTGTGTGTGTGTGTGTGTGTGTGTGTGTG